TTTTTTTTTTTTTTGGGGGGGGGGGTGATTGCGAGAATTTTGTTTCTTGTTCTCAACTTCATAAACGCACTAAAAGTAACCAAGTGTGCATATTCTTTATCACAACTACCACTCCTATCAACTTTTTTAGTGGTTTTTTTTTTTTTTTTGGGGGGGTGGTGTGGTTTCGGGTTCTAGGTGCATTCCCATGTGCGCATGTATCATACATACATTTGCGTGATTGCTTAGGAGCGTCTAATAGCACTAACATTCACAGAGTGCAAAGCAACAAGGTTTTTACTCACTTAAGTCCTTGTGCAACGAGTGCATCCCTGGCTCGATTGCCAGCAGCCACAACGCGCTTTAGTGTTTCAAGCGCCAATATGCTTCCACCTTGCCAACCAATAGCTTTCATCAACAGTGGAACAACCTGGAAGCAAGATCATTAGTAGCAAATCAATTTATGCAAGAAACTTAACCCGTTCATAGCACCATAGAATTGACCAAAATTTTAGTAAGCGCACATTTCTATGCACATAAAAAAATGAAAACTTAACAAATTGCTTTCTCACCAGTGAAACAACCAAAATGATCATACACACACAGACTTGCAAAATAGCACGAGATATGAGATTAAAGAGTGAAATGATGAAACTTTACAGGTACTTCCAATATCAATATCATTCATTGGAACTCAAATATTAAATAATTTTCTTTTTTCAACTTGGAACATAAAACAGGGCTCCATGAGCAGCCTGGGTAATGGCCAAAAATTACGTAAATATTTTAATTGTGCCAAAACAACTATAAACAAAAAGGACACACTAAGCATCTGTGTTAAAATATCTCAAGGCATACTGTTTTGATGTTGGTGACAAGTTATGAACTTTTGACCCCACCTCCCCATCTTAAAGCACATTTTTCAGCATACACGGCAATCGCCTGCGTAGTAAACCTCAACAGTACAAACTACATTACCAAATTGGAATCTAATTTAAGGGGTACAGAAACAAACCTGGGGTGTTCCTACACTGGTCGCTGCCATAGCTTCTGCACATGTTGTACTCGCCGCAAGTTGATGCAGGACACGTAAGCAACTAAGTCGAACACGTTCTTGGGGAGTTTGGGAACTTGGCTGTGTGGAACCATCCTCACTCTCACGAGTTCCATCAGTACTATTGCCATTTTTCACCTCCCCTGATGCCATTGTTTCTCGTCTTCCCTCATAGGCCACTGCTGACACAAGTTTGGGCACATATCCAAGATATCCTACATGATCTGCAAGCGCGGGGTGTACTCGCAGCAAAGAAACCAGCGCAGCAGACAGAAGCAGAGGGAGCTCAGAATCCACAGCTTGGACATCATAATGTGAGGAAGCAATGGAGGAAAGATACTGTTCTAATAGTCCTTCAAGAAATTTCTTTGGATTTCTAAGAGGAAATTTGGGGTCCTTCAAGAATAGCCTAACATAGATTCCTCCAACCTACACAACCACAAATCTTTGAATTCCCAAATCCTGCGAAAACATCCTCAAATGAAATGTACAATGCATATACCAAATCATACCTGCGGCTCATCTCTCATTTCCTGTTGGCCAGATGCCTGCTCGGGTACATCCCAATCAATAACACGCCCTTTTATCTGTTCACGATATAGGTCTGATGTCATAGTTGCAACTTGTGCAGACAAAGAAGCAGCCATTGCTGGTGTCCATACTAGTTCAGGAGTCTCTGTTGTTTGTTCAATGGCACTAATAACTGCTTCACCAGGACCATCCCTAATAACAGACACTAGTCCATCTGGGAGAAACCTCGCCAGAGTTATGGCCACTCTGGGTCCATGCATTGGCTGCCCAACAAGTTTCCCCAACAAGGAGGCAGCTGCCGCTCTTTGCTGTAGGGGAATTTCTTCTGCACAGCACCACTTCCACTTTAATAAGTAACTACATTTTAAAAATGATAGTAAGAATGAAAACACAACGGACAATTTCTAACCTTGCAAAGGTAATAGAATCTCCAGAATGTAAACCACACCACCATGCTTAGCTGCTGCCCATGCAAGTTCTGGTGTGCTTGCCAATGAATAAAGCACATGGAGAGCACCTTCACGGCAACTTGGGGCAGAGTGAAGCATCTGTAACAGAAGAAGCAGACTAGACCCATCTGCAACCATAGCCTCCAAGCATGGAGCATGTGTAGTCAAGCGTGATAGCACACTCAAGCAAAGCTGAGGAATGTTGCTGGCTGATGCTACGGGAACAGAAAAGCATTCAAAAAGGGGTAACAACTTTTCTTTAGCAGAAAATACGGATGCCAAATTTGGGTGGCTTGTCAGTAAGTTCTGCAATTGCAAAACAAATATCTCAGATACCAAATCAATTCATGATGAGTATTTAACAAATATAGATGGATACCTGAAGAGAAGTCAAGCCAAATTGAAGGTTCTTGACCAATTCAATATCCTCTTTGGCCATCACTTTCCCATCANCGTCAGTAAGTTCTGCAATTGCAAAACAAATAACTCAGATACCAAATCAATTCATGATGAGTATTTAACAAATATAGATGGATACCTGAAGAGAAGTCAAACCAAATTGAAGGTTCTTGACCAATTCAATATCCTCTTTGGCCATCACTTTCCCATCAGAGGATGCAGAAGAATCATCAGCATTATGCTGTTCGTTGGATGATCCATTGGATGTAGCACTTTGAAGCTCAGATGCCTCAAGTGACAACACACTGTTTCGAAGATCAGAAACTGTTGCACATTGATTGTGCACTAGACATGATATAAAATCAACAAGCGCAACACAGAAAGCTTCAGGTTCGCTGATCTCAAAGTCGGGTTGATCATTATAGACCCTCAAGTACACATTGCCAACATAGAGTTCTTTTGATAGTGCATCATATGCAAAGGCATGTGAATCTTTTAGATCATATGAACCATCAGGGCCCTGGCTTGCCCGCTGTTGGTCCACAAATTTTATCAATTCTGCTCGGGTTGAAGAGTTCCAAATAATCTGCAATCAGAAGCATTTCATTCTTTTAGATATATACTATGATTCAACTGGAAAGTCCACGACCACCAAATGGCTGTAGAAATAAACGATGGAGTAGCTATGTCCTAGAATAACTAGCCATAAAATCAAATATAGCAATATTTTGGAACCAGTAACTTTTTAAATTTAGGCAAAAACTTCTAAACATCAATAATTTGCAGGATCATCTACTGAAATTATCATTTCAAGCATCAAAAGTAGAACTACCAATAAAAAATTGCCAATCAGACCATGAGAAACGAAGACTTTCGTAGTGCAAAGTATGAACTACTCTGTTAAATAACATCATACTGGTAATATTAATTGAAGCATACAGTAAAGTAACTGAATTTCACTATTTNCCGGACAAGTGGGATCTGTTAAATAACATCATACTGGTAATATTAATTGAAGCATACAGTAAAGTAACTGAATTTCACTATTTCACATGGTAGGCTCCTCAGCTTTGCACTAAATTATTTGCTTCACAAATTCCCCTTGGTACTTACTGCTCTACATAATACAAACTAATTCCTTTTCTTAATATTATTGCATTTCATGCCCATGAAATGATTGGCTTGTAAGTGCTTCAGGATAAACAACCTTGCAAATTTATATGTACATGCAATTATTCGGAACAGCCTCGTTTTGGAAACATTTCGCAAACAGAATGGAAACAGAGAAAAAAAATTAGAAATTTGTTCCAAAACATTTTGAAACACCTCAAAATATTCCAAAACACTTCAAAACATCTTAAATTACCACTTATTTGTTTCGGTTTCCATGGAAACACAAACGTTTTTTGCCATTTTGACCATTTCGAAACAAAATTTTGATCCTTGATCACCCCAACACTAGTATGTCTCACATAAAAATTTGAATTTTTTTTTTTTGGGTTTTGGTAGGGGTAGGGAGCCTATCATGTAAGGAAATGTCATATTGCTTTCATGACGTAATAGACCCTCCAATATAACACAGCATTTACCTCTGGCAACTCCAAGTTTGAGTTTAACTTTGACAGCAGGTCTTTGAGAAATTGATGTTTCAGCATACTGGCAAGTTTCGGAGTTAGCAAAGCCCTGAGGGCATCAGCTGCAGCCTGGTTATATGGTGTTGGATTCTCACCAGTATCCAAGCCACCAAGCCTTGACAAGGCCTGAGATGCCCGTATAGCATGTAAATTTTTGGCAATTTGAACACTAGCACCGACACCATGTGCCTCTGTTGTGTCAGATTCCTCTGCAGTTGAGTCATACTGAAGCAACAATGGTAGAAGGTACCTAAAACACACCAAATTTAACACCATGAAACCCTAAAACAGGATTCAAAAGGATTGCATATATCAAAACTTGTAATTTCAGCCCACAAACTTACCAGTTCGAATAAATACCACCCAAGGACGTATTGACTAGATCAGAAACAACCACAACACATGGCATAGCTAAGGCTTATAATATGCAAAACAAGAGTGACTGACACCTACTCCCCACTCTATGGAATCCAACATTTGAAACAATAAACATAATAGAATAAGCAATGAAAATAAGAGATGTCCAAAATGAGCCACTGCTCTTCAAGCTGGGGAATAAAACTCTAATGACCGGAAAATTAAATTCTTCTACTTTTTTTCGGAAAGTTAAATTCACTTGCATTTAATAATAAGGCTAAAAATATTCTTGTCAATAAGGATCTCTTGGCAACTCTTTCACACNTGGAAAATTAAATTCTTCTACTTTTTTTCGGAAAGTTAAATTCACTTGCATTAAATAATAAGGCTAAAAATATTCTTGTCAATAAGGATCTCTTGGCAACTCTTTCACACATAACAATGACCCTATGATATAAGAAATAAACTTCAGTATGGGCATGAATGTATGCTAAGCTGGGTGTTCACTTTAATGGGCTTATATGTATGTGTGGTTTGATATATAAAACAATCTACTTATTACTTGATTGGTCACAGGTATACCAGCACAGAAACAGTATGTTCCATCAAGATATCAGTGAATGGGGGCACAAAGTGCCAAAAAATATATATCAAGAAGAATACATGAAAGCGAGAAAAACCAAAAAGAACACATCCAGTAAAAGATAGAAATAAAGGTAAGTTATCAATTTGTGGCTATTGATTTTAGTTTATATATCTGGCAGCAGAGCTTGAAATCTAAAGCCTACACACTTGCTGAATGATAAACTTACCACAACACACCAGCATTCAGTAACGCATCTTGTAAATCAGAGGACACAGAAACATAAGAAATGGTCAGAAGAGCGGCATCAACAGCAGCAGGTACAAGTTCAAGTGCAGTACAATGCACAATATCCTCAACTAGTCCAGAAAATACAAGCATCTCAACTCTGGCACTCTCAAACTGACTCAAAACAGAGAATGTCCGCATCACATTTGTCACAATGATAGTAGATGATTCACTTGCAGGAGTAGTTGGTTGAACCACACACATGCACCTAGAGAGAAGATTTGCAAGAAGTTGTATTCCACCATCCCTCACAAGCTCTTCACCATTCAGAGAAGAAGATGCACACCTAAAACATGTGAGAGAATATGTAAATAAGAAATGCTAACAGATTCATATCCCAAATCATGTCAAACTATAGAATGCATAAGTGCTAACGTGAGCCAAATGAGCTCTGAGGCTGCAACAAGGAGAGGTGCTCGGTCAGAGGAAAGAAAGTTGTTGTCATCTTTGTCCACTGTCACTGCATTCAACAACATTGGATACCCAGCATATTTGAATGGCTCCAATACAGAGCCATATCGTCTATATAAGATGCACTGCCCCTTCAGTAAAAGCAACAACCTCCAAGGTTGAGGACCTTGCAATCCTTGCATAGTAGCCTGAGAAAAATCATGTTAGTAGAGGGTATACAGCAATAAACACAAAACGCTGATTGCCACAGTTCAGACACAGATTTGGACTAAGCATATCACGACTACAGGCTCTCTTGATACAAATTTAACTACATTTAAGCAGTACTCGACTTAAGTTTATACTTTGTACAAGTTCTACAACAAGAACAATACTTATCATATCCGAACTTTGGAATATTAGAAGCATATTACTCTGACACATGAGCTTAAATGCACTTCAATATGCATGTTTCATGATTTGTTCTGCAACAAAAACACATGACAGAACTATACATATTCTCAAAGGCTCAAAGTCATGTTTGGTCTAAATGTACATATTTGCGCTTCATATTGGCAAATGAGGCAAAAACCAGTAGAAAATAAAACAAGAATCTCATATACACAACCCCTATTGCAGTGGATGATTCAAAAGGCGCCTCGTCTTGTTCCTTTTTCATTTCTCACCCGGTTCCATCAAATCACCCAGAAGACCAAATACTCTTGTCCACAATTTGTTTATACTTTGATGAGCCGAGGCAACATGTGATCAAATAAGTCGAGCATAGAGCAGATATCACAGCATGTTCATTTCAAGAATCAGAGATATGTATCAAAAAAACACATAACATGATTTCAGACATCATCTACACACTTTTTGGCTTTTCTTCAGCTTTCAGGACATTAAATAGCTATATCTTCTTATCATGCTAAATTAAACCAATGAGATCTCTAAATTATGTCAATCACATGGCTCACAACATGGTTCAAGGCTGTCGTATCGGTCATCAACTTGGAGGATTACTTATATAAATCAGTCCCGGCGTTGCCCAATACGCACAAAAAGCTAAATAGAAAATCCAAAACATTCTGAAAAAGTCACAAAAAAATTAAAAAATATAAATAACAATATTCATGTATTATCTATTCAAAATACATCTAAGAAATTAAATATAGTGAAAATGAAATACAAGGGCGTTACTGCCAATATTTATCTTAATCATTTTTTAATATAAATATCTAAGAACAAATCAAGCCATAGATCATATAAATATTTACACAATTTTAATTTTGTGTCTAATTTATTTCAACATATAGCTTGAAATAGAAATTAAAACTACAAATATATGCAATTATATATCACCAAGGAAATTTAATAATTACAAAATAGACTATTTAATTTTTTACTAAACTTGTAAAGGAGACTCTGGGACTTCAGCTTCACCTACTCCAAGGATCAAAATATCGTTTCGAAACAGTCGAAACATCCAAAATGTTTCCGGTTTCTAAGGAGACCAAAACGAATCAGTGATGGNGGCTTCACCTACTCCACGGATCAAAATATCGTTTCGAAACGGTCGAAACATCCAAAATGTTTCCGGTTTCTAAGGAGACCAAAACGAATCAGTGATGGAATCAAAATTATAATACTTCGAGGTGTTCCATAATGTTTCAAAATGTTTTGTTATATTTCAATGCATTTGCACAATTATTTTAGAATGTTTCAAGGTATTTTAAAATTTTTTGGTATATTTCGACTAATATTTTGGTATATTTCGACCAATATTTTTTATTTTTTTCATTCTGTTTTCGAAACGGGTCGAAACATTTCCGTTTCCTTGGTGACCGAAACAATGTACCGAAACAAAATCTTGATCATTGACCTACTCCACGTGCAAAGAGAGAGAAAGGTGAACGAAAGGGCTGATGCGGGCCTCTAATGCCTGGTTCATGACTATGAAGGAGGAGGAGGAGGTGGAGAAGGGATTCTTCAAGTTTACTGGTATGCTTTATGGTTGAAAAATTACTGATTTTTTCATGAGGGTTTCTTCTTTTGGGTCGGATTTCTGATTTCTTTCATTTAGATCCTTTTAAATTAGGCTTTTGTCTACAAAATTGTCCAAAAGATTTTCCCGTAGGCATCTTTTCTTCTCCCTTTCCCTTTGACGTTGGATTTTTTTTTTTGGGTGGGGGTCTAAAATTTGCACCAAATCGGTATAACCCATCCAAGTCAAACGAGTCAACACCGAGTCACACCGATACTGTCGAGTCAACACCGAATCAAGTCTGACTCACAATAGATATGTATTGTGCATCATTATCGGATTGGTAGTTGTCAAGTAGTATTGGACTTGGCTGACACTTTGAATCCTAGCTCACAGTTCTAAAAGTATGACGTAGAATGCTTGCCATTTATAAATCCAGTCCTTAAATTTCCAAGAGTAGGCCATGGGAGATTGGGGTTGGATATGGCGGAGATTATGTCTGAGGAATCAGAAGAAGGCACAAAAATGTTTTCAAAAGCAACTCCCCAGCTAAAAACACATGTGATTCCTGTTATCTATTAAATTGATCAGAGCCATCACCTACACTCCTGCAACAATTCTCTGGTTTCTCAGTATTTTAAAAATTTATAAATAAAAGCTGATTCCTAACTAAATTGACTAATCTAATACTGCACAAAAAAAGAAGTAAATGTCACTCACAATCTACAGGAAGAGAATGTAAAACTTGTCTAAACAAATATGAGTTTTGTTTTGCGGCAGTCGAGCATCCCCACCCCCCCTCCTCTTGCCCAAAAAAATGTGGCTCTATTAACTTATTACTTATAGAGATTTTCAAATAAAAAGTCTCAAATGGATTTTCTCCATAATAGTTAATAAGGTCTTATCATGAAAAAGATCCGGGAGACAAGTGTATACCTGCAGGCGTTCATAAGCTTTCTGCACTGCAAGAAACTTCTCTCTGCCTTCAGGATTTTTGTCCGGATGATACTTCATCGCAAGTTTCCTGTACTGTCGCTTGAGTTTTTCTTCATCAATGTTCTCAATCTGCTTCGATATGTTAGGAATCTCCTCGGATGTCTCAAAAGCGTGTTTTTTGATGGCATCATCCCTGGATACCTCTTCCAAGGAAATCTCAAGTATTTTGCACGCTTCTTCTTCAGAAAGATCCATGGGTCTACGTGTCAACTCTTCACGCCACATTACCAGCAATGATTGTAAGAACTCAACATGTTCAACAATAGGCCAATTAGGAAATCGAATCTCATCACATAAGTTCCGAAGGTAATAGCGATGACACCACATTTCATCTCTGAGCTCTGGATATGTTACTGGTGGCATAGGAGCATAATCGTATAAAGAATGGCAATGCTGGGATAATTTCTGTGGAAAATCACCAAGATGCTGCAAAACCTGGAGGAAGGAAAGAGTACATCATAGCAGTGGTAGCATATTGTTCTGTATTCATTCAATTCAAGCAAACATTCATGACAGTCATAAGCCCGTTGTAAGGTTTGACAATACCTGACAAATGAGTTTTTCTGCTCGCATTTTGTGTGTCCATATAATCTCAGGAGTGTCAGAATCAGAAATTATTGCTGCTCCAAATGCAGCTGGGCCACTGCGTTCCAAGACATACAGCAAGGACTCAGGCAAAAGCCCACCCAACACACTACGCTTTGCTAAAGGCAATGAAGACGAAACTGCAGCTTCATCACCACCATGAAAAGCTTGATGAACATGAGTCACTGCGAAGAGATGGGCAATTGAAAGAAGATTGGATCCAGGGTATGCCAGGGCAAAATAAAATGCCCCTGTACTGTACAATCTTATCATTGCCTTGGGATTTCTGGTGACAATGGCCTTCAGCAAGGCAGCAGCACTCTCTACAACAGCTGGTTCCCCCGAAAGCATAGCCTACATTTGTATAAATCAGGGTTAAAAAGGATGAATATCACTAACCACTTGCCAAAAAATTCTAAAACTAAGTATCACTGTCCAGCACACAAATTTGCATAGATTGGGGAAGGCTACAGCCAACATACAGTTTTATATGAGAATATTCCCGAGACTCCGTGTTTTCTCCCTCTATGATAACTTGGAAGACTAAGGTGCCCAGGTTTGTGCATGGACTATAGCTCATGCTAGGATTAAAAATAATGACGTGCTTCAAAAAAGAAGACCATTTCTTTGTATTTCTCAACAGTGGTGTGTCGTGTGTGCATGTGCAAGTGAGACTATTGATTATTTATTTTTGCATTGCCCTATTGCTTTGTTTTTGTGGACCAAATTGTTTCATTGTTTCAATTAGTAGATGCATGCTGGGAGATTGTTTTCCTCCATATTTAGTGAAGGAATTTGAGGGATTAGGAAAACATAAGATAAGGGTGACTCTATGGCAATGTCCAGCTTTAGCCACCATATGGGTAATATGGATTGAAAAGAATTCAAAAATATTTGAGGATAAACAAGAATGGAAGGAAAGTTTATGAGATCGCATTTATTTTTTGATGTCGTTGTGAGCTTCTGTTTCCAAGGAGTTTGATGGCATTCCACTTTTTTGTGTCTTGGCAAATTGGACAGCCTCATGTGACATACAATTTTTTATAAGCTGAGATTTTTTTTTCTTTTCATAGATGGACATCTTATCCATCCATATTTTCTTCTATGTATCGTTTATATCATTTTTAAATTAATAAAGTTATCATGTTTCCAATCAAAAAAAAAAATTGATTCAAAGTCAAATCAGTCCAATTACTAAACACATCTAATTTGCCATCTGCAATCCATTCTTCCTAACCTCCAATCCTAAAAACAAAGCNTCCAAAAAAAATAGATTCAAAGTCAAATCAGTCCAATTACTAAACACATCTAATTTGCCATCTGCAATCCNAAAAAAAAAAATTGATTCAAAGTCAAATCAGTCCAATTACTAAACACATCTAATTTGCCATCTGCAATCCATTCTTCCTAACCTCCAATCCTAAAAACAAAGCCATAGCCAACGATTATTTAATTGTGGACAGTATTTCGCTCTATCCTATACCAAAAGCTCTTGCATGGAATGGAGTATTGATCATGTTTTCACTAGAATAAGTCTCTAATCAAATAATGAAACATTAATAAGCACATTACCCCCGTCGCCTGCATATTATGTTGTAAGGGCATTTTTATAATAAACATAATTCTATGAATCACATGCATCAACTTGGTTGAGTTTGAGACCTAATGTGTTGAAGAGTAAAGAAGATCAAGTTCGTTGACATTGAGATTACTTGAAAATTGGATTGAAGATCTATAAAGACGTTCAAGCAAAACCCATGGTCATCACACACTTAGGTTTGGTAAGTAGATCTAGATATCTTACTTGACCATGATCTTAATTGGAAAACCATTTTTAAGTCTTGATTTATGTGATGTATAATTATCCTTATGAATTTAGTATGATATATGTGCTTTATAAACGCAAATTAAGGCTTAAGCATAGACTACATTCAAGAAAAACCTTAGTGAGCTTAATACATATCTTTTGGACCAAGATCGGGTGATCGGTGCTTGCTTGTCATGGTTTGTTCGCGCAAGCATGCAGGACAGCAACAGAAGCAACAAAACATCCTGGCAAACTGTTGGGCCTCATGCTTCTCGCTTGCTTGGTGATTATGCGGCGTCAAGCGCACTCAAGCTAGAAGGTGTGCGCTCGAGCAACTACGGCGTATCACAATCCAAAATATGAAACCTTCCAGACTTGCTCTAAGGGATTCCCTCTATATAAACCAAAATCTAAGACGTTTGTTTAACAATAAAGAACCGTGAGAAAGATTAAGGGGCAAATCTAACAGTGATGTAGACCTAGAGCACAATTTTTGTTCAATTTATAAATCAAAGTGTTTTCTAAAGCTCATCTGAATTTAAATTCAAGTTTAATCTTTGAGAGTGTGGTGTGAAGACCCTATTCATTCCATAGTTTCAGAGATAGGAGTTTTCTCAAACTCACCATCAGTCTGGAGCTTGGCTTGATGATCTAAGAAGACGATCAAGGTTCAAAGGAGGATAAATCGATGGGAATATATGGAAAACTAAATAAAGGGTATTCTTGTAATATTCTAGATAGACCTAATATTATAGATAAAGAGGAATGAAGGAATGACAGAAAGCCATACTACACGTTTCAACAGCCACTCTCTCTCTCTTCCTTCTTTCTTTCTTTTTCTTTTAACCCTAATTTGTGATTATAATATATTTCAACTTGGTATCAGAAGTATGATTAAGCCGACTAGAAGTTATCGGAGACAGAAGGGAGTACCAGTCCACTGCTGATGTCATCACCAGAAAGCTGATGTCATGATGACATCAGCTCATGGAGGTAGTTGGGCTATGGTCAATTTTGTATGGGGAGTATTATGGTGATTTTTCCAGATTTTTTTGAGATTGTTTGAGTGGATTTCTGATTTTTTGGATTTTTTTGGAAAAAAGGGCTGTGTTCTTCAATCTGTTGACTGGCAGATTTTAGGGGCCTGTTTCTACTTCTAATCCTCTCTAAATGGTGCAACTAGGCCTGGGGAATGTTGTTTTGTGCAGCCCATAAGCATTTAGTTGAGTTTCTTGCTGAAAATAGCTCCCAGGTGCACCGGCAGGCACTGCTTGGACAGTGTTCTGCTTTATTTGAATCTGTTTATTTTTTTCAGGCTGTTATTCCTCCTGCTTTGATCATTGCTGGTTGTTGCTTTTTGGGCTATTTGTGATAATCAGTTTTTTTTCTTGCACTCATTGGGTTTCTATACCTATTGCGCCAACATGTCTAAGACTAGCCAAACTTCTACTAGCTCTGTTAGTGGTGTATTGGGTCACGTTAATACCCAAAATGAAAACCCTATGTTACAAATTACAATGGCTAAACTGGATGGCACAAATNAATATATTTCAACTTGGTATCAGAAGTATGATTAAGCCGACTAGAAGTTATCGGAGACAGAAGGGAGTACCAGTCCACTGCTGATGTCATCACCAGAAAGCTGATGTCATGATGACATCAGCTCATGGAGGTAGTTGGGCTATGGTCAATTTTGTATGGGGAGTATTATGGTGATTTTTCCAGATTTTTTTGAGATTGTTTGAGTGGATTTCTGATTTTTTGGATTTTTTTGGAAAAAAGGGCTGTGTTCTTCAATCTGTTGACTGGCAGATTTTAGGGGCCTGTTTCTACTTCTAATCCTCTCTAAATGGTGCAACTAGGCCTGGGGAATGTTGTTTTGTGCAGCCCATAAGCATTTAGTTGAGTTTCTTGCAGAAAATAGCTCCCAGGTGCACCGGCAGGCACTGCTTGGACAGTGTTCTGCTTTATTTGAATCTGTTTATTTTTTTCAGGCTGTTATTCCTCCTGCTTTGATCATTGCTGGTTGTTGCTTTTTGGGCTATTTGTGATAATCAGTTTTTTTTCTTGCACTCATTGGGTTTCTATACCTATTGCGCCAACATGTCTAAGACTAGCCAAACTTCTACTAGCTCTGTTAGTGGTGTATTGGGTCACGTTAATACCCAAAATGAAAACCCTATGTTACAAATTACAATGGCTAAACTGGATGGCACAAATTACCTTGCTTGGTCTCGTTCCGCACTATTGTTCTTAAAGAGCAAAGGGAAGATGGGATACCAGGATGGCACTATTGTTGAACCAAAAAGTACAGATCCACAATGTGCAAAGTGGGATGTGGAAAACTCTACTGTAATGTCATGGCTTCTTCATTCCATGCAACCTGAAATCAGTAATGGTTTTTTGTTTCTGAGGACTGCAAAGGAGATATGGGATGCTATCTCTCAGACTTATTCCCAGATGGGTAATGCCACTCAGATTTATGACTTAGAGCGCAGAATTCACGAGCACATGCAGAGAGACATGACTCTAGCTACCTATTATACTATCCTGAGGGGACTTTGGCAGGAGTTGGATCAGTATCAGGTGTTTGAGGCTGATTGTCCAGGGGATGCCAATAAGTTCAAAAAGATGGTGGAACATGAGCGCATTTTTTAGTTTTTAGCTGGTCTGAATATGGATTATGATCTGATTCAAATCCAGATTTTAGGACGTGATCCTTTGCCTTCTCTTCATCAGGTCTTTGCATATGTTCAAGGCGAGGATAGTAGGAGGAACGCTATGCTTCAGTAATCTATCCAGGAGAGATCTGCCCTTGTTTCTGCCTCACAACGAGAAAGCAAAGGGATTAACAGGTCATGATATGGTTGTTGTTACCTTTGAGAATAAGGATAAGATTGTATGTGGGTATTGCAGCAAGCCGAGACACATTAAAGAGAATTGCTAGAAACTACATGGTTGACCAACTCGGGGCAGGTGCCTTCTTTAGCTCCTGCTTTTGTTTCTGAGACTTCAGGTTTTTCTAGGGAGAAAATTGAGTCTCTACGGTGGCTCATGACTCAATTGGAGCCTGTCCCTACTACCACTGCTACTTCTACATTTGCTCACTCAGGTATCCACGTCAAGGCCTATAATGCTTCTTTCTCATCTAGTAGTCCCCCTTGGATCATTGATTCAGGGGCATCTGATCACATGACAGGTTTGTCCAATTTGTTCTGTTCTTATAATACATGTTCTGGTAGAGATAAAGTTAGAATAACAGATGGATCCTTATCATCAATTTCTGGTATCGGCTCCATCAGTTTCTCCATTAATGTCTCTATCATTTGTCCTGTATGTTCCTAATTTCTCTACCATCCTTTTATCTGTTAGTAGCATAACCAAGTCCTTGAACTGTAGCGTAACTTTCTTTCCTACTCGTTGTGTTTTTTAGCATTTGGAAATGAAGAGAACGATTGGCAGTAGTAATGCGAGGAGTGGTTCCTCCCTTTTTGATTCTCCTTTATCTGAATTTCCTGAGAAACAAGAAGCTTTCCAATCTACT